GGGGCAGGCTGGGGGAGCGGGTATTTAGCTCAGTGGTTCCCCTGCTTCCTCGCAAGCGCAAGCACAAGGTCCAGAGTTTGATCCCTGGCACCAAAAAACAAAAAAGGGGGCAGGCTGAAGATGTAGCTCAATGGTAGAGTGCTTGCCTAGTATGTGTGACCCCTGGGTTCAATCCCCAGCAACACAACAAAACAACAGCAAAAACCATAACAAACAAAACAATAACACAAACACAAAAAACAAAAGCTTCTGCAGTTATCATAGATAGTTTTTATTTTTGTTTGTTTGTTTGTTTGTTTGGTTTTTTGAGACAGGGTCTCACTATGTAGTTGAGACTGACCTGGAACTCACTATGTAGCCCAGGCTGGTCTCCAATTCACAGCGACCCTCCTGCCTCAGCCTCCCAAGTGCTGGGATTACAGGCCTGCGCCACCATGCCCGGCTAGTTGTTTTATTTTTAATGTCCATTTTAAAGATGAATGAGATTGGGGTTGCAGGGCCAATGTGACTTGTCCAAAGCCTCACAACTTTTCACTATTTATTTATTTTTTGGTACTGGGGATTGAATTCGGGTCCTTGCGCAGCAGGTAGCAAAACCACTGAGCTAAGTTCCCGGCCCCACTACTGGTATATATAACCAAGTCCAGTTCTGACTTCCAGTCTAGAACTCTTGAGAAATTGGAAAAAGAAAAAGACATGCATCCTTACGACAAGGTGGGTCATTAGTCTACATTTATCACAAGCTTATTGGAAGCCAAGTGGATGCAACGTACCCTGCTGGGAGTGCTTATTCAGGGGTGGAGAAAGCAAATGGCTTCTTGCCTTTACACAGCAGCAAGAGAAGAGAGCCCCAGGTTGGGCGCCTGTGGACTTGGGCTGCCTTGGGGGGGCGCTCCCCGGAATGAAGGACCAAAAGACATCCTCTCTCTGTTCTTCACAGCACCGACCGAGCCCTAAGCCGTGGCTAGTGTCCCCTTAGCACCTAATAGTGAAGGGACAGATACTACGCCATTTGTGCCTGGGAGAAGTCTCCCTCGCTCTGCCCGGGATCAGCTGCACTCTTTCTACTTTGGGCCGTATGGGGCTTTAGGGTCTGGGGACAGGGATGATCATATTTATTGAGTAGGGCAGAAAAAGAGGAAGGCCGTACCTGTGTGGGACACAGCATTGGCAAAGGCCCTACATGCAAGCACATGTATTGCTCTCTGCTTTCTGATACCAGCGCCGGAAGGGTTAAGACGTCCCCAGCCCAGGGGACAGGAGTTGTCTGCACAGGAAGCTGCTCTCCCAGTCCCCAAGGCCTCTGGGGAGGGGGAGGGGAGCGACTTTCTCAGTCTTTTTCCCAGGCTCTTCAGCCTCCCTGGGGACCCAGCTACATGCCAGAGAGGCGACCCTTGACCCAGCCCCCTCCAAACCCTCCCCAGCTGGGTAAAGACTCAGCCTTGCTCAGGGCCCTCAGGCCCCTGAGAGAGTGAGATCCCCCTACTTCTGCACCTTGTTTTTTTTCCCACCATCCCACTTACTTCCCTTGGTGCCTCACCCCACTCCAGTTCCAATTCACCAGATTCAAATCACTGAACCTCTTCCTCCATTCCCGTTCCTGCCCCCGCCCCATCTTCAGCCCCCCCAACCCCCGCATTTTGTAATCTTCTAAAAATAAAAGCCTATGATCCAAGAAGGCAACTCCGGAAATATACAATTCAGCCCAGGCATCCGCTGGGTGGGGGACAAGGAAGGACCCACAAACAAAGAAACCCCGGATCCAGCAGCCTCACATCCCAGGTAAACACCGGAACAGGAGCTGTTCCTGAGGAGACAGATGCCTGGGGTGGAGGATGTGACGGGAGAGAGAAGAGAATGCTGCTGGGCTCTAGAGCTAATGTCCCTAGAAAAGGTGGTCTGGAGTCTCCCAGTGGCTCCCGTCTGTCATCATGAGCAATTGACTCCCTCCTACTTTCTGCTGGGAGAAATGCAGACGCCGCCTGGCGACCCCAGGCAAGGGCCAGCCCTGCCCAGCTAGTCAGAACTGAAAGCCAGGGAAATCCCACAGGTTTGAGTCCTGGCCCTGGGTATCACGCTGCTCCCCTTCCCAGAGACGGAGGAGGGCCACTTCCCACAAAGCTGTTCCCACCCCTCTGCCTCCTCTGGGACCCTGGCCAGGACAGAAGCCAAAGAGGGTGCAGGAGCTGGATCATCTGACCGCCGCTTATTTCCAGCTATGCTACCAGGTGGCTGTGGGAAAGCGGGTTCCATAGTGGCCTCAACTGTCCGACTCTTCCGTGGCATTCCGGGCAATATCCTCAGAGTGGCAGCAGGACCAGTACCACGTGACACCAGGCTTTGGCAAGATTCGGTCTGATACTGGGCCCCACAGTACTCCTGACTAGAATTTTTTGGTTGTTTGCCTTGCTGTGTAGTTCAGGTTGGCCTATAACAAAGACTACGTAGCCCAGACTGCCCTTTAACTTTCAGTGCCCCTCCCACCTCAGCCTCCTGAGTGCTGGGATTACAGTCCTGAGCCACCAGGCCTGGCTACTGATTGAACTTTGTATAACTGCTCAGTCACAGTGCATTTGGAGACCTCACAAACTATGGTTATTAATTAGAAGAAAACTAGCTGACATTTTTCAAGTACTTACTGTGTGCCAGACCTGGGCAAAATTCTACACATTCATCCTTCTCACTGAGCCCTGTCAGGAACTCATCTTCATCATCTGTAACTTACAGGGGAGGAACCTGAGCACGGATTGCTCCCCAGAGCTGGCCCTGAGTCCCAGTAGGATATGGCAGAACAGGGACTTGAACTCGGGTCGTCTGTTGACTCCACCGTCCTTTCCTCTTCCTGTGCCACAGCTTCAGAGTGCAGCCCACGGCTGAGGAGCCCTTGTAAAAGCAACGCTGTCGGTCTCCCCAATTTGAGCGGATGCCACTCATATCCCAGGGGTAATACCCTGCTGGGAGGCTGGGGTCCACCCTGCACTGGCCTGGGCATCCACGTTGCCCATTCTGGAAAGGGGTCAGATTAACCCCAGCTCCTGCAACTCTCAGCCACTTTCAGTTCAAGCCGAGGATGGCATCAGGGAGGCTGGCTGCAGGAACCCAGGGGGCCGCCCATCAGCTGCATGCCTGGGTCTCTGTTCCACAGGGATGGCATCCTGATTGCCCGCCTGCAGGCCTGGCTGACCTGTGCTGACCCCAGCCCCTCAGGCTCTGGTGGCAGCCTTCCAGGAGCTCAGAAGTCCTGTTGGCTTCCCATTTCCTTCAGTGGGAAGGGGCTGGGTAGGCCAAGGAGAGGAGACTGACTTGACACCCTGCTCCTGAGTCGGCTTCTTTGGGTCCTTCAGCCTCTGTCTGGCCAGCACTTGTGCTTTCTGCCACATCTGACTTTTGCCTTCTAGGGAAGAATTAGTACCTGCTCTTAGGCCCTGCAGAAGCTGTCCTTCTTTTCCTATACTGTGAACAGTTCTCAGGAGCAGGCATGTTGGGCAGCCGTTTTGGTTTAGACAGAATTTATTAATCACATGGGAGTTAGATGGTGTGCCTAGAAGGACCCTACCATTAAAGTAGATAACACTGGTAACACATAGCACAGTACCTGACGTGTGTATGTTTACACACATAAGCATGTGCGCGCGCATGCGCGCACACACACACACACACACACCCCAACCATCAGCCCGACACTGTGCTGAATACTTTATATGCATTTTTTTTCTGAGGTCTTGTTTGGTCTCCCATGCTGGAATCTAATTTGTAACCCTCCTGCCTCAGCCTCCTTGAGTAGCTGGGATCACACCTGTAATCTACCATACCCAACTAGGTTTGCTTCCCCCCTCCACCCCAGTACGGGGGATTGAACTACATCCCCAGACCTATCTATCAATCACCTGGTCTATCTATCTACATAATTTATTTATTTATTGAGAAAACATTTGATTTATTTATTTCTATGTCATTAAGTTGCCCAGGCTGGGTTTGAATTTATAATCTCTCTTTTTTTTTTGTTTTTTTTTTTTTGTTTTTGTACCGGGGATCGGACTCCGGACCTTGTGCTTGGAGGCAGGTGGCAGAACCACTGAGCTAAATCCCTGGCCCCAACTTTTTTTTTTGAGACAGGTCTCACTATGGAGTTCAAGCTGTCCTCAAACTCATGGAGATCCTCCTGCCTCAGCCACCTAAGTGCAGGGAGTACAAGAGTGTGCCACCACGCCCATTTTGGCTTGAATGTATGATTTTTCTGCATCAGTTTCCCACAGCGCTGGGATTACAGACATGCATCATCATGCTCTGGCTTATGAGGCTTTCTTGTGGTCACTCTTCCGCTGACTGAATAGCCTTAGCACATGCCTTAAAGTGCACATCCCCTCAGGTAAAGTTGGAAGCATTTCCTGAGATTCTGAAACTGCTCTAAGAGTGCTGGTAGATAAGCCATGTCCTACAACCCAGGTCAGATTTTGCTTTAAACCTCTAATTGGCTGTTGGCCAGCTTGTATCTCCTGTACCAAACTCAGCTGATCAATCGAGAGTGGATGCTTTTATGCTCTCAAAGCACCTTGAAGTCCATCTCATTATGGCAATTCTTTTTTTTTTTGGTACCAGGGATCGAACTTGGGTCCTTGCGCTTATGAGGCAGGTGGCAGCAGCGCTGAGCTAAATCCCTGTGCCTCATTATGGCAGTTCTCCATAGGTTCCTCCTACCAGAAAGTCCCTTTGTCCCTTTCAAGTTTGTCAGTTGGACTACTAATTTATATGCTCCCTTTGTCCTCCACTTTAAGGCCTTACCTGATCCCCTCTCACTGTGGCCCTGTGGTTTCAGGGAAAATTCCATTCAAACTCTCCTTCCTTGTTCCTACCAGGATGACCTTGATACATAAATTAACTCCAGCCCCTCCATGTGCCCACTCTCTTAGTTCCCAGCATTTCTTCGGTCCTGTCCCTCCTGCCTCTCCTCTGACTGTTTCTCCTGTCTCCTTCCTCCCTCCCTTGAGTCAATGCTACAGAACCACACAACATGTGTAAGTGTGACTGCCTGGAAAATGTAACTTTCAAGGAGCCTGAGGTTGAGTGACAGTAAACAGAACCTTGGAGACCCCAGACATCATCAAGGGTTTGTGTGGATTCAGCCGCAGAAGCCTGGAAACGGTGCAAGACGGAAGAGAGGGAGGGATGCACACGGTCGGAAGAACAAACTGGAAGGCAAAATGGCAAGTGGAGGAAGTGAGACTGATTCATCTGGGCCCAAAGAATCTGTGACTTCCCTCATGGGAAGGGCCCTCGGAGGTCACGGTCCAGACGTGGCAAAAGAGCTTCGTGATGCGTGGTGGCCGACCGGAGGGCGTCCTGAGAACAGAGCGTCCAGTTACTAGTAACGCCTGCTGGTAGTGCGGGTGAGGAACGGTGGTGCCCCTGGTAGGAATCTCCGTTGTAAGGCAACTGAGGATTCTGGGGAAGGGATTTGTCCAAGGTTCGTATCACGAATTGCAGGCAGATCTCAACCCTCTTGCTGTCTCCGGAAACGCAGGCGGAACTTCAGACCAGGTAGAGGCAAGGGACCCTGGGACATGAGGAGTTTAGACAGCATAGGAAAACAGCATAGAAGCAGATGGGGCTGGGATGTAGCTCAGTGGTATAGCACCTGCCTGGCAAGTGCAAGGCCCTGAGTTCGACGGCTGGTACAAAAAAAAAAAAAAAAATGGAGCAGACAGCCCAGGCTGGGGGAAGATTACAGAAGCATCAAAAACTGCACCATCAAGCTTGGGATTTAGTTCAGTGGTTCAGGTGCGTGCCTTGCTAGCTCAAGGACCCAAGATTGATCCCCGGTACCAGAAAAACAGAAAAACTGGACCCTGGGTTTCCACTGGTGATCAGTTAGCTAGATCTGCCCAGCATCCTGTTACCTCTGCTGACCTCTTCCACCTCTGCCCTCCCCCAGGAGAAGAAGGGGCAGAGGTTTTGGCAGAAAGGCCCAGTGAAGGTGAGAAGGGGCAGTGGGCCTGGGGAACAGTGGCACCTCCGGGGCACTGCCCTGACTCGGTGGCAGCCCAGGAAAAGGAGGAGCCAAGAGCCGGGGAAGTGGTGGGCTTGGAGCACCTGTGTGCAGGTTTGGTGCGTGGGCCAAGGGAGAAGAAAGATCCTCCAGGTGAGCAGAGCCGCAGGGCCAGGATAATGATACCCCGACAAGGCCGCGGGCTTGGAGGGCAGCCCAGCTACCTCGCACCACCCACAGGAGGTGGGGTGCCGAGGAGGCCCAGGATGCACAGCCTTGGAAGTTTGCTCAGAGGCCTTGGCCTCCTTCCTCTGTCTCCGCTGCTGTGCCCTTTACTTCCTTTCCCACGGTGTAGTATCTCACTTTTTCTTTTCTCCCTCCCTATTCCGCCTACCTCACCCTGGAGCTCCCACTGGGAGTAGAAGCGTGGAAGGGTAGGACCGGTTGTAACAGAGGAAGATCTGGGAGCTGTTTTCATTGGGATCATCTGCCTGAACCTGGAAAAGAAGTGTCCTGCGGGCAGAGACTCCGGTCAGGACACCATACCCCGTGAGTCACAAGAGAAAACTGACCAGAGGCAAGCAGACCTCCTCTGTTGCTGGGAGGGCTCCCAGATCCCCCAAGGGAGCCACTCTGTCTGTTTAGAAGGGACTGAGCTTCCTCACCTTGCCCCGAGAGCCCCAGCTGGACACGTGCCTGGATCCCATCAGACCCCAGCCTTACGGGGATGGGGGTAGACAAGAAAGAAGTGCTAGACATCCCCCAGCCACAGGGATTCCACAGAAAATGATCACTGACCTTAGGACTAAGTATTTTGCTGAACAGTTGTGTTGCTTCTTTGTTTGGTTTGCCACACTGGGAGGCTGAGCCTTACGACCGCTTAAACTACTTGGAATGTGGTTGCAGAGAGGAGACTCGAGTTAGCAAGAGAAGATGCCAGATGACTGAGCACCTGGATCCAGCTGTGCCTGAAGTCTATCCCTGAAACTTTCCAGCATGTAAGCAAAAAAAGTTTAAGCCAGTTTGAGTCGGACTTTTGTTATCTACATCCGAAAGACGAAGTTAGCTTAGAGAGAGATGGAGAGAAGCAACCCAGAGAGAGGAGCAACTGCAGGGGTGAGGACTGCATCTGATGGGAAAGCGAGCGTGTGTGCAAGTGGGGCTGCTCTATTAGGCTCACGGAGCTGACCCTTGGTCGTGAAGCAGGGATACCAGAGTTTATCGGGAAGCACACGCAGCCAGGACAGTTTTCCAAGGGGCTAATGTGAGATGGGATAAAAACTTCTGCGCAGGGCTGGGCGTGGTAGTGCACTCCTGCAATCGTAGCACTTGGGAGGGTAAGGCAGGAGGATCACCACAAATTTGAGGCCAGCCTGGACTACATGGTGAGACCCTGTCTCCAAGACAAAACAAGGGCAGCCTGAGAATATAGCTCAGTGGTTCCACCGCCTTGCCTTGCAAGCACAAGGACATGAGTTCGATCCCCAGCACGCACCCCCAAAATAAATAAAACTAAACAAGGGCTGGGGGTGTAGCTCAGTGGTGCTGCACCTGCCTGGCAAGCACAAGGTCCTGAGTTCGATCCCTGGTACGAGAAAGAAAGCAAAAACAAAACATTTGCACCAGGTGTGGTAGTGTCCACCTATCATCCCAGCACCCGGGAGGCTGAGACTAGAGGATCACTGGGCGTTCAAGGCCATCCTGGGCTGCATCGGAGGCCTTGTCTCCAAGAAATTTTTGCCCCCTCGGCTCCCTGTTTGCATGAGGACAGTAGGCCGCTGCAGCCCTTAGCCCGGGCGGGGTGTGTGTCCACAGGGGCGAGGAGGAAGACAAGGTCACTTGTAGTTGATCTGGATAGTCAGTACTCATTTGTAAGGAAGTCCCTACTAATAGCTCTCCTGATGTAAACTAAGACTGATCTTTAAAGATGAATGAAAACATTCAACAGATTCCTGCTTGTCACACCCTGCCCCACTCAATCCCTTCCTTATCAGATGTCCCCAGGTCTCATCGTAACTACTGTGTGCAAAACTTGATGATAAACAGAGAGACAGAAAAAAGGAACTGAGAGGCCAGGGGAATGGACAGAAAAAGAAGCAAGATCTATCCTGTGCAGGTACACATTCCTTACGATGAATGCGATCACTCTGTATATCTAAAATGTACCATAAATGTTGTGCATCAAAGAAAGGAGGAAGAGGAGGAGGGGAAGAACTGAGCAGTCCAGGTTGTGTGGCTCCAACATCGTGACATGCAGCCCTCAAGGGTGACCCCAACTTGCTCCCTCACCCTCTAGCGAAGATTTTTTAATCTCCACCGATTATGACCAGGATGACACTGATGGCCACCGAGTCTAAGGCTGCCGTGGAGATGCCAGGTGGCCATGGGGGATGGCGGGAGGAAGTGGTGCCCAGCAGCGATAAGAAACTCCCTCCCCCACGTCCGGCACATACAGCGATGTCTGTGCCAGGGAGGAGAGAGAGGACGGGCCCTGAAGGAAAACAGGGGGTGTGGCGGTCTGGTTCCTGGAGCCTGGAAGCCTTGTTAATCTTCCCCACCTTTTCCCACTTCCCTTACTGAGCAACAATCAATGCCTTAAAAAAAAAAAAAAACCTACATAAATAAATTACACATATGTCATATACTTCCGCACAAGAAATGTAGGTAAATATGTACAACATTCCAAGGTATTGTTATTTCCTTCCTTGATGTAGAAAGCTTCCCACATCAGTATAGTTACAGTCTAGCCCTTTTTTTTGTTTGTTTGCTTTTTTGAGACAGGGTCTTACTGTGTAGTTGAGACTGACCTGGAACTCACTGTGTTGCCTGGGCTGGTCTCGAACTTGCAGCGATCCTCCTGCCTCAGCCTCCCGAGGGCTGGGATTACAGGTGTGTGCCACCACGCATGGCTCTAGCTTTTCTTTTCTTTCTTGTCCACATCTCTTCCCCACGGGGCTGGGGATTGAACACAGGGCCTGGCACATGCTAGGCAAGTGCTCTGCCGCTGAGATACATCCTCAGCCTTTTCTTTTTCTTTTTTTTCCTTTGAGATGGGCTGTTTTATGCTGTCCAGGTGAGCCTCAAGCTTACAATCTTCCTGCCCCAGCTTCCTGAGTACAGCTTATCTTTTTTAGCTGATCACCTGCCACCCACACCGGAGATCAAACTCAGGACATTGCCCTCTCAAGGCAGGCACGGCGCCACTGAGCTAAATCCTTGGCTCTTAGCTCATCTTTTCTTATAGCTCCATGGTAATTAAGTTTATTTCTCCCCTCTGTTATTAATGGACATTTCAGCTGTTTCTGATTTTTTGCTATTGCAAACAAGAACATCGAATACACTCTGCACATGTATGAGTGTTTCTTGAGGATTCATTCCTAGAAGAGAGATTGCTGGCTCAAAATGTGTATGAATTTTTCATTTTGAAAGACACTGCCAAGTTGGAGTGGAGACCTTTTTCCTGTGAAGGAGCACTCCCTGCTTGAGCTTGACACACACCCAGGATGGAAAGACCATGAGCTTTCCATTCAGACATACTCGGGTTCACGTCCAGGCTCTGCCACCTTCTTCTCGAGTGACCTCAGTTACATCACGTTGCCTCGGAGCTTCTGTTCCCTTCACTGGTAAGCAGGGATCATCTAAGAGCTTCCTCACAAAGCTGTTGCAAAGATCACACAACATCTTAAACCAAGCCCATAACACAGGCCTTCGCCAGCCCTGGCTCTCTCTCCCTGCCTGGACCCTCTTCCACATGCATCACAGAGGACCAGGTCTGGGGAGAGGCTAGGAGAGGTGATTGATCGGTGAACGCCATGAGGCAGTCAGGGCTCCACAGGGAGCTTTTTCTGGATGGCCTCTTCACCCCAGGCGCTGCCTTTTGCATTCCCAGACTCTGCAGAGGAGGAAGGGAATCCTTGTTAGAACAGTGAGATATGACTGCACATGGTGCTGCACGCCTGTAATCCCAGCACTCGGGAGGCTGAGCCAGGAGGATCACTGCAGGCAGGTTCGATGCCATACTGGGCTACATAAGTGAGTTCAAAGCCGACCTGAATTACATAGTGAAACCCTGTATGAGAGAGAGGAAAGAGAGAGAGAGAGATTTGATAACAAGGAGGGCTGGACTGCTCTCTGATAGACAACAGGACAGAAAAACACCCGGTAGAAAGAGATGGACTTGGCAACAGCATGAGACCCCATCTTAGAGAACAACACATGTGAAAGAGGTGTGGGGAAGCCTGCTGGAGACCCCATGCAGAAGGGGCCTGTTCTCAAGTCCAAGCAAGGGGCTTCTATGAAGGAGCTTGGAATTCCTTGTGTGGGGTTGGCCAGATGGCATCCAAAGTCCCAGTGGGACACTCAGCAATGCTTAGACCCCCTTAGCTACAGCTCAAGTGCTCTGCTGACTTTCAGGGCTAGAGTTTCATCTTCTGGAGATTTGCTCTCAGGACATGAACCTCCCAACTGTGGCACCCCACCCCCACCCCCACGATGCCCGTATGAGCCCAGAGGCCGCTGTGACGGGAACCAGGGTGGGGATCCTGGCTAAAGTGGTAGAACTGAAGGGCCAGGATGTAGCTCAGTGGTGCCACTCCTGCCTGGCAAGCACAAGGTCCTGAGTTCAATTCCTGGTACCAGAAAACAAAACAAAACAAAGCTGGTAGAGTTGAGCGGCACGGTGACAGCATGGTGACAAGGCCTCCAGTAGATGTAACCGTGAGCGGAACTCAGTGGGTGAGGCAGCAGGGTCTGGCGAGCTCACTTGGAGACCAGAGCCTGAACGCTTGGTCCGCAGCCTCATCTCCATCGAGTACACACTGTGAGGTCAGAGGGCAGCAGCTTGCCCTTTCTCACCTCCCTCTCTCCATCGGTAGAAGGAACATGCTGATACCTCTACCTCTGGCCCTGTCTCCTCCGCGTCTCCAACAGCAGGTGTCTTTAACAAGCGAAAGGGCAAGAGTGAGGTCAGGTGGAGGCACTCTGCAAAAAGCAGCCCAGATGGGGGAGAGAGGACGGGCAGAACTGGTAGAGTTCACCCCTGGAGACTCCTGACACTTGACCGTATTTCCTGGTTCCCAATTCCCAGACGCCGGGGTAGCTGAGATCTTCCTGTTCTTGCCTCACTTAGCAGCGATGTCCTGGCTTGCTGCCCAGGCCCAACTCAGAGATGTTGGTTCCGACCCTGCAGGCCCCCCGCATCCTCCCACCTGGCCTCAGGACAGGGCGCAGCCTTGTTGGGAGGAAAGGACAGGAGACGTAGATGAAAGCCAAGTGCTCTCCTCAACTTCCCCTGACCACGGTGGCAGGAGGCTGCACCTGGATGTCTCACCCACAGGGCACCTCCTTAGGGTCAGGAGAGTTTCATCTCTGTGACTGAGCACAGTTCTGGGCTTGGTGAGGAGAGATGGAGAATTGGGCCGAGAATATGTCTCTTGCAGTCACTTAGTATATCATGAAAGCGGGCCCTCGAGTGCCTTCCTTGCCCGTGTCCTCAAGAGATGGGCAACAGCCGAAGTCTAAGACTCCCTAGGAGTCTCCAGGTTGAGACAGGAGATGCAGGTCACCCTCATCACACCCACCTCTCCCAGGCCTGCTGGCTCCATCGCCCCAGCTCCTGCAGGTTCCTCACCGCTCCACTCAGCTTCCTCTTTGGAAAGCAGCCAGACTTTTCTTTTCCATCCAGGGAGAGAAAATGGTCTCATTCCCCACCCCCAGGTCCTTCCGTCCTCTCATCCATCCAAACCTAAGCATCTCTCTCTCCTCCCCCTCCCTTTCCCTCCCTCTGTTTATCCATCACTCGAATCCACCCCCCTTTCCTCTTGCCTGTAGGTTCTGTGGCTATAATCAAATCATAACTTTTATTAAATTTAAGATTACTTTTTAATGGAATCAATTTCTTGTGTGGTGCTTCTCTGCCTGCCCACGGGCTCTGCCGGCTCTGGGCTCAGCATCCCCACCCGCGCAATTGTCTCTGCCGCTGGCGTTTCTGGCTAAGCTGCCTCCCAAGCAGGGGCAGATCTGCCATCCCCAAACACACACAGAAACACACACCAAGACGCGCTCTCCCGCAAACCCCAGACACACAACCACCAAGCCCCAGGCGCCCACGCCGCCGAGGTGGGGGAGCGAGGATCGAGGTGGCAGGGCAGGAGGAGGGAGCCGCGGAGAGAAAGGCTGAGGGCGCCAAACAAACACGACACGGAGCAGACATTTCTCAGCCTGTTAATTTCCTACAGTTCTGTTTTCCAGCCTCAGAAACAAACCGGTTTTTGCCAGCCCCCCCCCGCCCCCCGCATTGTGCTGCTGGTGAATGGGGAGAACTTGGGGGGCGTGTCCAGAAGAACAGCAAAGAGACTCGGGTCTTCATTTGATTTATAAAAATACAGGCATGGTGCAGCGATGCATCGGAAGCTTAGATCCCCAAAGATAAACCCAACCCGGAGACCTGCAGTCTGGACCGTCTAACCCTACAGGTCTGGGATGCAGGAGGAAGGGAGCCAGGGGTCGGAGGGGGGCTGGAGGGTGACTTCCTTGATGGAGGGCACAGGCTGGGAAAAGGCGCTTGAGCAGCGGAGGCACATTCGAGGGGGTTGCTGACTCAGCAGAGACTTGGCCACCTCCTTGAGTTGACTGGACAGAGCTGATCTCTGCTCCAGCTTTTCTGGGGGTACCCGGTGTCAGGTGGACAGGAGAGTGTGGGTGGACAGGTGGATCTGGAGCCCAAGGGGCCATCTTGGCTCCCCACACTGTCTCAGCACGCCTGGTTCACTGCTCATCAGAACCAGGGCCTCTTGTTCATCCGGGTACCTGGGCATAGCCTTTGGTATTAGGGAGGTCCCTGAATCCAGACTCTGCCACTTTCTGTGTGGCTTGAACACATTGACTAGCCTCTCTGAACTTGTTTCGTCATTTGAAAATGAGGATTCTGTGCAAAGAAGTGATGCATGTGGAGCATCTATCATGAAGCCTGGTGCAGAGCAAGAGCTCAGGTCTTCTAATCAATGAGCTGCATCCACACAGCCCACCACCCCTCTGACCAGAAGGTTTGGGGCCTGAGCCAGCGGGCAAAGCAGAAGGCACAGACCTACAGGCAGACCTTAGTTCATGGGAGAAATTCAGCCTGGGACCAGACGGGAGGACATGAGCTGAGTGACAGCTCCCGGGATTGGGACCCAGGGCGTAGCAGGGCTGTAGTCCTCCCTTCAGGTGGCTGAGGGGCTGATGCCGGTCAGTACAGGTAAAGGACTAATGGAAGTTCCTGGATAGGAACACACATCCTCACCTGGACTTCCAGGAACCCGTGAGCCCAGAGCTGGGGCTCACTCTGGGAAAGCACAAAGGGAGAAAGTTCTGTGGTCTGTCTCTCCACTGCCCCTCAGCGGGCACCTGTTGGTCCTGGAGACTTCTAGAGTGCGCTGACATCCCCAGAGGAGGTCTAAACAAGGGGAGTCTATAAAGATTTAATTAGGCACTGTGAATGGGTAACCTTTGCCTCTCATTCCTGTCCTCCAACCCTAGGGAAAAGGAAGAGACTTGCAAAGAATGCAAACAAGAAGCAGAACTAGGAATGGCCGATTTGGTTCCTGCTGCCCGACTTTTACCCAAGCTGCAGAGTGAAGGCCACCATGGTCACAGCCACAGTACAGCCAGATTCCGCTGCTCATCTGAGGGCTGCCCCTCGGAGCTTGGCAGCTGCCTTCGAGTGAGGGTCAGCAGGGGCCTCCTCCCGCAGGCAGGAGCTCAGCTCTTGCCTCTGCATTACCCTTCAGATGAGGCTGGTCCAACCTGCTCTACGTCTGCCTGTCTGACCCCCGGTACGGGCATGCCTGCTGAATCTGCACCTGGACCGACAGACCTGCAGGGTCTTGTCTGGGCCTGGATGTTCCCACGGGGCCGCGCATCAGTCACACACAGAGTTTTGCTGCCCAAGGGGACTTTGGAGATTTGAACATTATCCTCTCCAATCCTCATTTCGCTCACAAGGGGATGGAGGCCTCGGTGAGGGAGGGTGGGACTCACACAGATGAAGGGATAAATCCTGACCAAAGTCCCCTTAAATCTTTCCCCTGCCGCCTGCTGTGCTTTGCAGGGGGGGTGACCCCCATCACCCTCACTGGCACTTAGTGGCACACACTAGCATAGCTGTCGCAGCCCGTGGCAGGTACTATTGTGCCTCCCATTTTGTAAATGCGGAGGCTGAGGCTCAGAGCAGTTAAATAACTTTACTTACGCTAGTAAGTGGTGGAGCTGAAATTTGATTTTTTTTTTCTTTCTCTTTTTGCAGCATTGGGCATGGAACCGAAGGGCCTCACGCACACTAGGAAAGGCCTTTAGTACTAAGTGACACCCGGCAGCCAGACCCGGATCCAGACTATCTGGCTTCATCACTGGGTGTTTAACTACTCTGCTGTGCTACCTGTTCTCTGGAAGTTGCCTCTGCACCATCGCCGTTCCCTTTTCGCAGTCATCGTTACCATCAGCACCACCTTCACGACTCATCATTCCCGCATTTCTCTGCTCAGTCACATCCAGACGATGCTCCAGACAGGAGGGCAGGCTGCCGTCCAGCGCTCCCTCTCTCCTGTGTCTTCTGCGGGTCGTCTCTGGCATCATCACACCCACTATAGCCACTGGCTCCACCATTCCAAATCCCAACGAAGGTGTGCTTCCAGAGCAACACAGACCTAACTCCTGCCCTGCGCCAGGGGAGGGGCTTACAGTCCAGTCACAATATGTCCTCCCTCAAGCAAAGGTCCAAAGGCATCTGAGGAAGGGCACTCTTCCTTACGGGGGCGTTTCTGGGGAAAAGGACAGGGATGAGGGTGGAAGAAGAAGCTCCAAACAGCCCAGGAATGTCTGTCGAGAGAAACACATCGATGGCCAAGGAGGCTGCTTGTCATCTTTCAATATCTATAGAAATATCAAGCCTCAAGAGAGGGGCCAGAGTTCAAGGGAACAGAAGACCAGAGGGTACTCTGCCCAGCCCATGCCTTTAATGAGCTACAGGGGAAAGACAGAGCTATCGGCGACTTGCACTCACTGTTGTTGGCCAACACCCCATCTTTCCCAGCCGCAGTAGCTCTTGCAGCCCCTGGAAGCCAGCAGCAGCAAGCAACGCTGCCCAGGAGTTTTAAAATCGATTATTCCTTCGAGTCCAAATCCCACCCACCTCCCAGCCCAATGAGCATGCTGCTTGGCTGTCCGTGAGTGTTGGCTACCAGAGGTGCCATCATCTTTTACAGGCACTAGGAAGAGAGGGCAATGGCTTCCCGGATCAGAGCCTCCACCCAGAATTCCAGCCAAGGCCCCAGAGCTCCCAGGACCTGGAGGATTTTTTTCTCCTGGTTTGGAATTGGCTGGTTTTCTGGGCATCAGGCCCAGCTCAGTTTAATTTTTGTTTATTTTTATGTACAGATTCTCTTCTGTTTGGGGAAGAGCTTTGTGTAAATTATTATTATTTATATGATAAAGAATAAATCACACCAAATAAAAAAACCCGCAATCTCTTTTTCTCAATAGAATTACTAAATTAGGGGCTGAAAAGAACAGCCGATGTGCTGGGGTTTGGTTTCAGGAAGCCTTTGGACATGGACTCTCACAAAATGTCTTAGTAAACGGGCTGTTATCCTGGATTTGATGCTGCTCACAGCCGGCAGAGGCATATGGGGCCTCCCAGGAAGACTGCAGTGGTTCAGGCCCAAGTCTGTGTGCTTGCATACACCCTATTCCTTGGGAGATGAGTCGGGGCTTTTTAAAGTGATTTACTAACTCAGAATAGGGGAAGAACAGGAGAGATAGAGGAGTTGGGAATTCTTGCCAGAAACAAGATCAGATGCCCTGAATTGGGGTGGGGGTGGAGTACATAGGAGTTACTTGAATAGTGGCACTATTACATCAGGGGGAAATGAGCCAATCGTTTCTTTGCCTATTCATTAAATTTGCATGCTTTGACTCTATTGGAATGAAATGAGTTAGACGGCAGGGATACAGAATGGGCAGAGGACCAGCTTGGCACACAGTGTGTCCCCAAGTGGCCCCCATCCCTAGCCACGGTGGGGAGAAGACCAATTCATCAAACGTACTGTACCTCCTTCCTCGCCACCCTTTTACTGATCTGCTCCACTCCGTCCATCCTTTCATGAAGTTCTGTTTGAGGACTAGAGAAAGATGTACCCAGAAGAAGAAATCCATCCCCCGGGATTATATCCTAAATGCCAAAGGGGAGGGGTCCTCAATAGGTGGTGTTTTGGTGCCGACGTTGAATGCTTTAGAACCTCAGATTAACAGAGATTTTATTTATTTTGAGACAGGTCCTCACTATGTGTAGTTCAGACTGGCCTCAAACTCATTTTGAAGCCCAACTGGCCTCAAACTTGCCTCAGTCCTCCTGCCTCAGCCTCTAGAATGCTGGGATTACAGGTGTGTACCACCATGTCCAGCCTCGTGCCCAAGCCTGGCCAGAGATTTTAGAAACAGATCCAGCAGCATTGCCTATCAGCATTTTCTCAGTGTCCTCTTTTTAGAATAGATTTCTCCCACCTGCACATCCAAGGCCTACCTTTGCCTCAAGGCACAACTGTGGCCACCTCATGGGTATGAGCAGGGACTCTGGAGCCTTGTGTTGAGCTTGAAAATCTACTCCACCACTTAATAGCTGTGGAAAATTTGAGCAAGCTGCTTAACCCTGCTTGAGACTTAATGTGCCAATCTGTAGATGGAATAACAGCAAACACACACACCAACACACCAACACACCAGCACACCAGCACACCAACACACATGGGGGCTTAGCATGGGGATTCAATGCAAATCCATGCAGCACCACATTAGTGCTGTACCAATGTGGTCATTATTTTAAATACTCCACTGAGCTATCCCAGAGCTTCCTGCTAGAAATTAACCCCAACCCATCATGTACTTTAGGAACTCAAAGATTATACATCTAAGGTTTCCCTCTAAATTTTTTTTTTCTTCATACCAGGGATCAAACTCAGGTCCTTGTGTTGGTGAGGCAGCCTGCAAAACCTAAATCCCAGGTCCTGAATCATTTCTTCATAATCTTTTCTGAACCAGCTATTCTGTATGAGACAGGCCCTAGTCATGTTTGGCATTTCTGTTGTTTTGTTTTGTTTTCAGACAGGGTCTTTCTATGTAGCTGAAGCTCACCTTGAACCCACTATGTAGCCCAGGCTGGCATGGAACCTGCGGTGAGTCTCCTGCCTCAGCTTCCCAAGTGCTGGGGCTATAGGCGTACAGCACCAGGCCCAACTTCCTAGTCATGTTTTACACTTAGTAGGCACTCAGTTAATCAACCAATGCCTATTTGAAAAGCTGCCTAGGCCTAGAAGTGTAGCTTAATGGTACAGCACATGCTCAGCACTCATGAGTCCCTGAGTTCAGTCCTTAGCATGAATGCATGAATGAGATAAGACGCTGCCCAGTCAGCCAAACGCCGAAACCCTGGGAGGTCCCACCTACTTCTGATCTCTATTCCAGCCCCCATAGATGCCAGGTTGAGCCATTCCCCGTAGGACGGACATAGGGAACATTGAGAAATGGGCTGGGGAGAAGAGGGAGGAGGGGAGGAGAGGCGGGAATGGCTTGTGAGGGGCTTTGCAGCCTCCAGGCTCCATGAAGCATCGCCTTCCGTGCCCTCAGGTAGGGCTCCTAGAATCCCACCCTAGTCTTCGGTTGTTCAGGTTCCCCTCGTCCAGCCAGAGGGGGCGGGCACTGATTAGTGCAATGGAACTCGTGGGCCTCCCAGAGTGGTCCACACTGGCGAGGGATCTCTGAGTCACTGGTACCCAGGCACTTGCACGAATACACATGTAAAAATAACTGTTCACGTCTGTGCGTGTAGTTGTGGGCGAACACTGGTCCTTTTATCTCAGAGTGCACTCAGTCATTCATGCATTTACTGATTACTGAGGCTCTAATGTGCGAACATTGTGCCGCGCCTGTGGTCACTGTGGTCATCACGAAGTGGATTTCCCACCCTGCACGTGTCCCTCTATTCCCCAGCACAGCTCCGTGAAAGGGCTGGTGGTTGGGAGTGGTGGGGCAGGCAGGGGCCACTTTTAGGAAACTGGCCTTCTCCCTGCCCTGGCTGGGGATGGGGGCCGCGTGGGGACACTCCTTCTGCTCTTCTGTAATCGTGTCGCCTGACTCATCTCTTCCCAACCAAGAGTCGAAGCGTGCAAATTTAATGACGAGGCAAAACCTCTAACCATAAAGAGCTTAATTTCTAGCGAAGGGAGAGAGTAACAGTCAGCAGGCAAAGAAATAAATAGTTGAATTTCAGATGGGGACATGCTATAAAAACAATGATGCGAGCTAAAGGGTAGAGTGTGACAGTACCTACAGGGAGAACTGCTTTAAGCCGGGGGTTTAAACAAAGACCCGAAGGAGGAAAACACATCAACCTCAGAAAAACCCATAAACAGCACCCTGATAGAGGAAGCAGCAAGTGGGAAGTTCTGGAGGAGCTACTCTGAGTCAGTGATGCTAGGGATCTGTGTCTCCTTAGGGCAATGTCACTCAGCTTTTATGGCGCACATTCATGCGTCTTGCCACTGCTTTTTAGAATCATGTCAAACTCCTCACTGAGGCCTAGAAGCCAAACTTCATGCCCCACTGGCTTCTAATCTCACCAGTCTCTTCAGTTCTTAGCCCATCTTCCTCCTGCCACAGGGCCTTTGCACAGACTCTTCCTTCCCCACCAGAATTACAAACCTCAGGAGAGTTGGCCTCTTCCTCCTCTTCTCTTTCTTCTCTCCCTCCGCCTCCTCCTTCTTCTTTGTACTGGAGATTGAACCCAGGGTCTTTGTATTCACAGCAAACTTTTTCCTTTCTTTTCTTTTTTTCTTGCTTTTTTAATGACAGAATATCACTAAATCATTAGATTCCCCAGAGTGAGTGAATTTTTGATCCTCCTGCCTCAGCCTCCCAGAGTGCTGGAATTATATAGGTGATACACCATGCCCCAGCTGGGATCTTTTCTGATCCCTAGTTCCAAGCACCATGGCCAGTACCTGGAGGCATTTAGTAATACTTGTTGAATAAATACTTGTGAATGCCGGGGTCAGCTCTGGGCACCATCGAGTCTCCATGGACACAATCAGGCAGCACATAGAAGGGAAGGGGATGGGGAAAAGACTCACAGCTACCCATTAATGGTGTCTAGGAAAGGAGGGCAGAGTTGTTCAGGTGTAGTCGGGGGGCGGGGCGGGGCTTTGGCAACCTGCAAATTCCAGGAGGCAGTCACATCTCAGAGGAAGATCAGTAACACGGAGCCAGAGCGGGAAGTGAGGGATCAGACCCTAGGGCTCTCAGGAAGACCTGTAACCTCGGTCATGTTTCAGGGGCACCTTCCAAGGT